AAAAAGTTATAGCATTTTTAAGTTGAAAATTTAAAATCGAAAATCGAAAATTTTAACACAAAAATAGTGTTTTTTTAACTACGGCAGCCGTTTAAATGTAGAAAAAAAAGTGTCGGGACAAATTTTTTTTTTTCATTTTGTAGTACATAAAATAAGCTTTAATTTGATATATGTTTAAAGGACGCAGTCTTTCCGGAACATTTTCAAAAATTAAGTTGAAAAAATTAATTTTTGTAAAAAAGTTGCCATTTTAAATCCCCCCCAATGAGCAGGTTAAGTGATAGATTTTCAAAAAAATGATATCAAATGAAAGGTAAATATCTAAGGTTTTAGTATAAAAAACAGTTATGTTGATTTGTTGATTTTTCAAAAAGTTATGGAAGTTTTAAGAAAAAAAAGTGAAAAAATTTTGAAAATTAGCGATTTTTAAATTTGTAATTTTTTTGGATATTTCCCCCATTTGCGGGGAACGAGGGAATTTTTTTCAATTTTTAAGGGTAATGTCTTCAACTAGATACGATTTGTGATCTTTTGACGTATTTTTGAAAGAAATCGGTCCAGTGAGAGCTGAGAAAAAGTGGCAACAGACATAAAAAAAAAANTTTTTGAAAGAAATCGGTCCAGTGAGAGCTGAGAAAAAGTGGCAACAGACACAAAAAAAATAAAAAATAAAAAAAAAAATAAACACATCATGGTAAAATTAATACCTTCTCAGCTTCGCATCGAAGCTAAAATATTTTTCATAATGAATAATGTACTTGGGAATAGATATAAAATAATTTTTCGCTGTTATTAAAAATCATATTAATTTATTTTTAATATTTATTGATCATAAATATTTTTTTATTGACTTCNAAAAAAAAAATAAAAAAATAAAAAACACATCATAGTAAAATTAATATCTTCTCCGCTTTGCATCGAAGCTAAAATGATTAATTAAAAAACTGTGCTACATTTATTATAATTTTACTTATTTCAAGAATTATACTCATATATTTATTTGTATTAATTAATGTAATAAATGGAAGAACCCTCTACTGATTCAGATAAAATTGTTCAATACACTCAAAAATTAGCTTTGTGGATAAAAAAGGCACCATATAATTCTATAATAGAAAAATTAAGAAAAAAAAATAAGAATCGACGGTTCAATAATTATTCTTAAAGATAGACTCCAACGTTTCCTTTTAGGCGAGTTTATTGAATCTGATTTTGAAGTTAATTTTCAACCTTCCAAAAAAATGACTGATTTTATATCTTTAGAATCAGTTAAACAAGACATTAAAAAATATATATATATAGCGCAAAATAAGACTCAAAATCTAGATGTTAACACAATACTAGACAATAACAAAGAGCGCATTTTTGACTCCAAGGGTACAAAAATAAAAATATCAACACATTTAACAGTCTAACAGTATAACACACTAACAAATCTTATTAAGAATTACACACATTTGTTCACTACCAATTTAAGCAAAGTACACCCAGCTAAGATGAAACTATGTCATATCACACTAAGGCCTAACGCAAAACAACCCAAATTTTGTTCACCTCATCTCTCACACTGTCTACGCCTGGACAGCGTGAGGAATTAAAAACATAATTAGATAAATTAATGTCAGCTAATATTGTAATACATACTAAATCTAGTTATGCTTCTGTTGCATTTTTAGTTCACAAAAAGGAGAAAGGTTTATACCATCTAGTAGTATTTTATAAGTACCTTAATAATATGCTAGAGGCTGATAATTACCCTCTCCCTAGAACAGCTAATTTGTTCAGGAGTTTAGAGGGATCAAAATATTTTAGCACCTTTGATTTAAACTCAGGTTTCTTTCAAATTCCGATAAAGTAACAAGACCAATATAAATTAGCATTTACAACAGTTCATGGACTATTAACATTAACACGTTTACCACAAAGTTTTCGTAATTGAAGTGCAATTTTTCAACTGCTAACTTTCTGGATTAGCAATTGGCGGTTGCTTAGGTTTTTCATTTTCTAACGAAAGAACTAATAATGAAAATGTTGTTGTACAGGCAAAATTTTAAATATTATTATTGTTCGAGCCAGGTGACAAGGGGCGATGGAAACAAATTGGTTCTTATCAGCCATTTCCATCACCAACCTGTTGCGGCGTCGAATAGTGACGTCATTAATTTCTTCTAACGCGTATAATGATTCTACAGAAACACGTACATATCTTGTGCAAACAAACAAAATTGCATTTACACTGCGAGAAATAAGTTTAGGCTTTGCATGCAGTATTGAAATAAAATTAACTGAGCATCCAAGACTTATTATTTCTTGCGATCAGAATAATTTTTTCTGTGCATTTTCGAAAACTTGTAGGATGTATTGCCTTTGGTCCTTATCTGTAGTTTTAATTTTCTAAAATTATAGATTTTACCATCGAATCAAGTATTATCAATAAGTATCTATTATATCATATTTCAAATATATATATTTATTGGCTTTCGATTTAAACTTCAAAACATTTTTTCGTTGTGTAGATCGAAAAATCGATTTTTTTTTAATACTGTATTATTTCTCTAGCCAAGCAATTTAATATGTGTATATTTTACTAAACTCGGACTTCAGGCATCAAATTTTTTTTTTCAAATTAAAGTATATTACATAAGCTTTAATTTTAGATATATATATAGAAGTAAGTAGGGTGAAAAAGGGGATTCAGCCCGATAGGGGAAGTGAGAGGCGTGGCCTATGTGGAAAGAGTGGGAGAAATATGCGTGTTCTGTTAAGGGGAAGGCAGTCACCGCTTCACCCACCCACCTCACCGCCTGTGATGTAGGTGAAGAGGTGTGGAGGGGGGGGAATAAATCCAACGTAAACTAACATAATGCAATGGGAGGGGGAACGATGATGTAACCCAACGTAAACTAACCTAAGAAGAACCTCTCCTCCTCTGACAAGTCTTAGNGGCAATTTTAAGTAAAAAAAATTTTAAAAATGTCGAAATATACCGATTTAAAAATCGTAATTTTTTTGGAGATTTCCCCCTTTTACAGGGAACGAGGAAAGTTTCTTTTTTTGAGGTTAATGTCTTCGGCTAGTATACAATTTGTGATCTTTTAACGTATCGTTGAAAGAAATCGGTTCGGTGAGAGCTGAGAAAAAGTGGTAACAGACACAAAAAAAAACACATCATAGTAAAATTAATACATTCTCATCTTCGCATCGAAGCTAATATTTTCTTTTAACTAAATAATTTTGTAATTTTAAGTTTTTTCTTGTATTTTGTAGCTGTCAAGGCATATAATTTATTGTACTTTGTATATTTTACTTGTTTTAGAATAAGACTTACGTCTTATCAATATTTCATGGGTGAATTGACCACTTGCGTGAGTAAACCAGATGCGCCCATTTGCTCGATGTGGAGTGAACTTCGCTGGGCTTGTACTTGTTTGAAATGGTTTATGCAAAATAATTCAAACCAAGGCTTTCATCGTCATTTTCATATTCTTCTCGACAGTTTACTTAGAATTAGTCAGTAACTTAAATGCTGACGCCTTTTTAGCAGTTCTGAGAAGGTTCATGTCGAGACTGTTATTAGAAAGACTGAAACTTTTGTATTGTCAACATTCTATATAATATAATTTAATT